AGCAAACTGACTCCAGAGTTATAAGTAACAGTTATAGCTTAGTAAAAATCCATGACATACAGATGATTTCACTTTCTCAACCACAAAGAAAGAATCAGTCGATTTAAATAAACTATTGGAGAATGATTATGCACTTAACCAATGAAAATTCATTGATATAAGTAAAGAGAACAGATGGCCTGAGTATCTGATACGTATTTAGTAATTAAAATTTCAAACTTTCAGATATATATTCAAATGTAAAACCTATTCAATGTAATATTTTCCTATCGATGTCTTCTCATACCTTTAGTACTCAGAAAAAGAAACATTTTAGAAATCAAATGTTAACTTTTACAAACGTAGTATTATCGTCAATGAATTATTCAAATGTCTTTTCATAATATATGTATAAGAAGTTTTAGATTGGAATTTACCTAATAATAAAGTAGGTTAAACTGAACACTTTGTGTTGTGATTACCAAAAAAAAAAATAGAAATAGCTTTATGTCAGAAAAATTGCAACGTTGATCTTTTTGTAATCACAAATGCTACAAGAGTTATATATGTTGACAATTGTTGGATTTCCGATGTCAAATATTTTCTTCCTTCTCCATTCATAAAATATGAATACATTTAAATGGACGTAAAAGAACAGAAGGATTTTTATTATGCATTAATCATTTGCAGCACAAATATGTTTTGATAGAAGTACTCATCATTGATGGCAAAGATATGTCTATTATTCTTTTGTTGTTATATTCTCTCAATTTTGTGCAAGTTTCACAGTCTGTTGACACAATGCTTCATCTGTTCAATTCTGAAATGAAATTCGATTTACAAACAATATATGTTTGTCTTTATATCTTCGGCCCGATTGAATTCATTATGCCTTGTCACGAAATATTCAGATTTTCTCTAAGATTTTCCGGGTGGTTTTCATTTCAATAATATGTTTTTTTTCAAAGACTTTTGGCAATAGTCATTTAATTTTTCCGTAGGAAAATTGTAACTTCTCATTCGAGTTTCAATATGAATTCATAGTCTTGTTTTCTATTGTAAAGTTCAAAGTCAGACACAAATTTTGTACGGCCAGATTTTTAAAATATGATTTCTAGGATGATAATAATCGAAACTAGTTTTTATCGATTAGAGGGTTTTTCGGACATGTGACTTAATTTTTATATAAAACTTGATCAGTATCACATGTCGAAATTTTGTTCAGTTCAAATCCACATGTATCGACATAGTTTATCTAAAACCAATCCACGCTCTGTATCTAGTATTTTAAAAGATTTTTCTTCAAGCCATTGATGATATTATAACTCTAGATCAACTGAATATTTCAGGCTAAAATCAAGACCAGAGAAGTTTCAACCAAAGATCTTTGAAAGCTAAAAGTTTGAGCAGAGTCAGGGATAGAATGTAGAAATCCTGTTCTGCGGAAGGAGTCTCTCAATATGTAGTAGTTATGTAATGTTGCGGAAACAGCTATAAATCATATTATTTATTCACTAAAGTATTCTAATGATGTATACAAAATCGAGTTCAATTACACTGCGTCCATACATGACTGGTTTGAAATATGCCAAAAGGAAATATTTAATTCACTGGTATCTTTCATATCTAGTAAAAGTAAAATCAGCGAAAGCTGTTCAGACAAAAGAAACTAATCTAGGCTTTGAATCAGACTGGTTGGTGTGCCAGTCACCAGCTCGATGCAGTTGAACGTTTAAAGCCAGAAGGTTTTCACCGATTTTGTATCAATTTTTTCGGCATTGAAGCTAGTCTATTTAGCTCGTTTTTATCGATTTTCGACGATTTAACGGTCCAGAAATATGAGCGCAAAAGTTTCTAACTGATAAGTTTCTAGTGTTTATCAAAATTCCATCTATTAATTTTGAACTTATGCTTTCTGATGGTATAATAAGGGTCTAGGATCATGCTCAATATATTGATTATGGTCACGAAAAGGTAGCCAATGATTCAAAGTTAAATTTAGTATAAACTAAAATATTTTCTGTTTCGAAATTTCAAGCTCGCTTTTGCTGGAGTGCTATTTAACCGACTGTCAAAAATTCTCAATGACTAGTAGTTTTAGTTCATATTTTCGTTACATAAATATCAGAAAAGTTATATATAAAGCCTAGCATAAAAATCCAACTTTGTAGCTCATGTTGTCTTTCTATTGACAATAGTAGCCTGATACAAATTGAAAAGCCTTTCACTTGTGTTAAATAATGACATTCAATAAGAAAATATAAAACTTATCAATTCTTGTAGAGAAACTATATCTTTATTAAAGAAAACCAGGCAAAATAAAGTATAGATGTTGTTCAATATAGGTTGTTGTAAGTTAGTTGAAGAAAATATTTTGAAAGAGTTCTTCTTTCGCTCTTTGTTTTAATATATATCGAATTCGACAGACTAAGATAGAAATTATTACTTTTAGAAACTCCAGCAGTTATATGAGTTTTACATTATATCTTCGTGAAACTGTATTAATAAACTTTTTCTCAAAAGAACTGAATAGTAGGTTAATTGATGCGTTTAAACGTATCAGTTTTTCGCTGGTTTTCTTCCTTTTTAATCAAAAATCAGCCAGTCCGATCCGGCTGACAAAAGTATTTGATATACTCTCTCTTTATCTATCACCTTAATTTGCTATGCAATTCATGCTTGTCTTTCTTTCTTTCTTTATGCTAAGAACGTAATTCGAGAATCACACAAGAAAAACTCTATATTGTGATCATAGCAAGTACACATTTTCTTGTTACCCAATGCGTGCGATATATATGTGTATCAGCTTCTTTTTTTCGTTGCAACATAGATTAAAAAAAACATCTAATACATACTACTCATCAGGTAAAAACAGAAAGCAAAAACTAATATGATAAACAAACCAAGGCCAAACTTTTTCGTTTCTCGATTATATAAGAACGAAACAAATGGAGATACGAATATGTGTGATGAAGAAAAAAATGTCTTTATAACTGTAACTCAACATATAAAGTGTATCTTACGATTACAACATGTTTCCACTTCTTCAACTTTTTCTGCTTATTTTTACAACACTTCTCTTTCACATTGGTACTACTAATCCAAATATCATCTCTACTACTGATTATGTCTCATATGAGGGCGTTGCTTTTGCTTTTGTAGTATCCATTGGACCTAAATTTGGCAAATTTCTCATATGGATCTCTACATCATACCAAATGTTATATTTATATATCGAAGCCACGTCGCCAGCTTCACTTTCTATATGGTTCCCAGAAACTTTAAAGTTTATTGACCCATTACCTCTTACACCTATTTCAATACTTGGATACATCTGTATGATTGTTGGTGGCTTGGGAAGAATTTGGTGTTACAGAACGCTAGGAACGTTTTTCACCTTTAAGGTTACTATTCGTAATTCTCATAAACTAATAAAAACTGGCCCATATGCTTATGTACGTCATCCATCGTATACATTTGCTTGTATCTTAACCATCGGAATGTTTCTTGTACATCAACGCTTGGCAAACTTTCTTCCAAATAAAACATGGATACAGATTCAGTTTGGTCCTATTGGATTTTTAGCATGTTGTGCGATACTAATGGTGTTTATCAAAAGGCGTGTCATTCGTGAGGAAGAAGAGTTAAAAAAGAAGTTTGGGAAAGAATGGATTGAATATGTGTCAAAGACAAAAAGATTTATACCTAGACTGATCTAATGAACATGCTCCTATTGTTACATCTTACGAATAAGATTGGTAGTTCTTTTTTTTCAATGTATCAGTCAATTAATTGTTTGAATTCCACTTTTTCGAATTCTATACAAAAGAAATGGTTAAAAGTCATGCTGGTAGGCACTCTGGTTCTCTAATGCTATTGACTTTGTTGTAATCTTATCAATGGTATCTGTTCGCGACAAAAAGCATCGGATAAGTATGAAATTATAAGTTATTGAGCGCGCTCCATCTTGTATTCGTGTTTGTTTTTAAATTACGGAGATTCTCTACAAAATTTCAGTGAAAAAAAA